CTCCTGCAGGCAAATAGGCAGGCAACACAGCGTATACGTAATCAAATGTACATAAGGCATCAAACGGCACCAGCGACGACGGCGGCGACGCCATCAATTCGTAAGCCAAAACAGGGCTCCAAAGAAGCCAGAACAAGCGTGGGTGTTTTTGGGGGGGGATGCTGCTTCGAAGAAGCTCCTGTAGCATACATCAAGTGCAGGCTGTCAGCCAGGCTGTAAAGGCAGCGGCAGCGGCAGGGGAAGGGGAAATGGGCTGGGAAATGGAGCAGGAAAGGAAGGACAAGCAGTGCACAGGAAAACAATTTACAATGCCACCAACTTAACAGGAAGGGGGTGGAGTGGGGGGCAGGACAGGGAAGGAGCTGCTGATGGTGCTGCTGCATACAATTTTGGCACTGGCAAATGGCAATAGATGACTAAGACACTTGGCATTGGCCAGGAGACGTGGGACGTGGGACGTGTGCCCACGAGGGTGGTTTCCACAGTCTTTGCTGCCGAGTGAAAACTGAATTTGAATTGGAGAAAACAGAAAGGAGACACCTTTTTTCAACAGAGTTTTCCATCATTTAGTTGCGACATTTTCTTCAAAAAGTTCTTTCCTTTTCTGCTGTGGTCCCCAGGGCTCGTTCCATCTGAATCATGGACACAGAACTTTGTAGTCGACTCTCCAGAAAGTCGTACTCGCTCGAAGAATAGAGAGATAGGAGAGCCAACATTTTGATATTTGTTTGATATGTGAGAGAGAGAGCAATGCGAGGAGGCGGGGCACCAACCCTTTTGCTGTACGGTAAATCTGTACACGATGCTAGGCATTAGTGTGGCCAGAACAGGGCCCGGCCAGGGCAGGCGAGGGCAGGCCAGGAGGAGGATTTGGGTCTGATGGCTGGGGGTTGGTAATAAGTTTAATGTGAGCTCCGAGCATATTTTAAGGCTTTTCACTTGAGCCAGCCCTCTTGCTAGCCAGCTGTCAGTTCAGTTCAGTTCAGATGACTTGAGCAGAAAGAGACTGGCAGTAGAGTTGAGTTTGTTGATGATGGTTCGTTGACTACCTACCTCTCTAAGACCACTGCCAGTGGCAGTGCCAGTGCCAGTGCCACTCACACATCATCCGATGTACTTCACTGAACTGTCCCAGCTGACGTTGAATTATCATAAATTGCCAAAGTTTGTTTTTGGCATAACAAAACGTGGGCTGGAACGCGGAATGGGTGTGTGAAAAGTTGCCATCAAGAACGAAAATCAGAACAATTAGGCTCATGCATGGTAGAAGGGTTCGCTCGCTCGTTGGCTCGTTGGTTCGTTCGCTCGTTCTCGGATCGTTCTCCCATTTGGTCTTAAGTGCAGTGACAGTGGGAAAAACAGGGGGGCGGGGCAGAGTAGCGTGGAGTAGAGCTTTGCATAAGTTTCTGCGTTCTGCCTCCAGGCATCGTCAGTGCGCTGCATAATCCTATTAAATTCACGTTGCGGGCAAAGTAAACCAACTGCAAAAGGAGAGAAAAACAGCTCCAAAGGTGCTTAATTTGTGCGCAGCTTTTATTGATTTCCCCCCCTCCGGCTTTCCGCCACACACACACCCACACCCACATATTAGAAGAGGAGCTCAGGCTAAAAGGCATTAAAGTCTTGACAAGGCTATTAAATGCTTAAGAGCCAGCGACGTTAATGACAACATCGCAAAAGGGCAAACCAGGGCCAAGGAGCCGTACGTCCTGGAAGTCCCGGCAGTCCTGGCAGTCCTGCCAGTCCTGGTGCTGCTCAGGCAGAAGTAGAGTTCAGTCGAGACGCGAGCCGCGCAAGGATTACAATTTACGAGTCCTGCGAACCATGAAGGTGTGATAAAATTTCAGCAATTAAAAAAACGTGTGCGTTGACAACGACAAGGGCAAAACGGGGGGCACCGGCAAGTGCAGGACGACTACACGAGCACCCAGTCAACGTGGCATGCAACTTAAAAAGAAGACGAAGAAGCCCTGAATTTGGAAAAGGTCCCCCAGGGGAATACTCTATTGAAAGGAGCTAAAGATGGATGGGAAAATAAATACGAATATCTTTTATGAAGTATATTTTGAAGATTTTAATTCAGGCATTCAGGGATCGTTATGAATATATTCCTATCCCCTGAAGAATTATCAAGAATAATATAATATATAGCATACTTTTTAGGGCCCAACAAAGTTGATGAGAAAACTGTTATACCTTTGCGTGGGAATCCAGTTGCTTCAAGGCGACGTTTCTTCACTTCTTCTTTTGCGCTTTTGTGCAGAGAGCTGAGAGAGAAAGAGACAGGGACGGAGAGAGAGAGAGAGTGAGAGGGAGTTGCGAGGGAGATGGCACCACTCATACACCTATAAAAAAAAGTTGTGAGCAGTTTAAACGTCGCGTCGTTGGCATTTGAGAGCAGAACAGCTCCTAAGAATATTGCAAATTTATGCGCCTTCCCTTTTTGCATAATTACCCCCAACGACCCTTGGTAACCTGAACCTGTGTGGAGAGGGGCGTCACTTCCCCTTGCCCCTTGCCACAGGAACACGCCCACGCACACGCAGATTTTGATAACGTCGTGTCGCTTCATGTTGGGCTCTCTCTCTCTTTCTCTTGCAACATTGCAGCGCGTATTTTTAATTTCCGTCAGTTTCTGTCTCCCCACCTACCCCCCAACACTCTCTTCCTCTCTCTGCCTTTTTTCTAGATAAGCGGGAAACATGTCAAGGTATGACTGTACATATGTGTGTGTGTGTGTGTGTGTGAGGTAGATAATGTAAAATTAAAAGGGAAACTGTGTGCAAAACAGGCCCAAACGGGAAGAGGAACTGGAACTGTGCGCCTGTGATCTTGAATTATGCGTTTCTAGATTACCACCAAAAAAAGAGAGAGAGAGAGAGACACAGAGCAGGGACAAACATATACAACATATCATATGATATGCAGAGAGAGAGAGAGAGCGCACGTGAGAAGGAAACAGTGAGAACTGTCTGTTGTAAATTATCTGTAGAATAGATGGGACAAATTTTCACAAAATGTGTGTTAAATGTTTCGCTATGGGAAAAGCCACAGAACACAGCAGCAGTAAAAAGATGGCAATGGAAAAAAAGTTTTAATTAGCTAACTAAAATGGCAAATGGCGCAGCCGGTGAGATATGATTAATGAAATGCCTGGCGTGTAACAACACGCAACAGGGGCAGGCGGCGTGTGGCACGAAGCAGGAGCATGAGAGATGATATAAATTGGGGCAAATTAATTGCAACAGACTCAGGTGTGTGCGAGTGTGTATGTGCCTGAGTAGAAAATTTTCGTTGTAATTAGATGATGGAAAACGCTCATTTTGCTATCCACAAAGTGCGGAATAGGGGACGAGACGGAGGAAAGCATTTTTCTATGCGCTATAATCTGTCAGATGGGATAAAACAGCTTGGGAAAGTGAACATCCTCCTCTGTCCGTCTGTCTGTCAGCCCGCTTGTTAAGTGTGATAAAAGATAGAACATTAACGGAAATAAATCAAATGCTCTCAGGTGGGGGATGATGATCTACGTGTAAGTGGCGGAGGCCAGGGGCACGAACAGGAAAATAAAAACTGACCATCAGCTGCGCGTTTTCCTTTTGGGAATGATGGAGGATGCAATTTACCAAATGAATAGAGCAAAATTATAAGAGAAAAGTAAATGGAATCCAACGAAATCTTTCACAAAAATCCATTACCTTTCCCAAAACCAAAACCAATAGCAAAACAGCCATGAAAGAAAAGTGCTATCGGAATACCCCTTTTTGGTTCGTTTGATATAGAAAGCACATAATTAAATCGATAAAATGTAGCAATCTCTCTATACTGGAGACAGTTCTTCTCTCTTTGAAAATTCCATCAGCTTCAATTACGGCAGGAGTGTGGGGCATGCCCCACAAGCAAGCATAGGTTATGTTCTCTGCTTCTCCTTCGAAAATTTGACTTTGGCAACATCATCAAAATTTTTAGCCAAACAACAAAAAGATGAAGAGAAAGCGAGAAGTGGAGACGTAGAGAACGGTAGAAAGGGAGTGAGAGACAGGAGAACGCCCATTTGCAGTCAACTGCCAATATGAAAAGCTGAAATCCTTTTAGCAGGCACCTCTATGCTGCCATCCTTGTACATCCCCAGCGCCATCGTGCACGGATGGAAGACTGCCACTGCCGCTGCCACTGTCAGGCCGGGCGGCTGGGAGGCTGGGTGGCCGGGGGGGCTGGGAGGCGACTCTACCCGATACTGAGGGCAGGCAGACAGAGGTCATGTTGTTCTACTCGAATGTATATGAATTTACATACGCCCGACCCACACTCAACACCTCCCGTCGCCCTGACACCCGCTCCGACACCCACTCTGATATCTGGCTTCTGTGTTCAACTTCGAGGCTGGCCAACATGTGCAAAAGAATTCGATAAGATGGAAAAGGAGAAGGCGGGTGCGATGGCGAAGGCGGTGGAGGAGCAGAATTTTGTGTATTTTTAAACCGAAAAAGGGTCTTCCCATCTGCTTCTTGGTGGGCGAAAACTACTTATTCAACTTTAGCCTGGCAACTCTGTCAAAACAGAAGAAAAGACCAAAAAGAGCAGAAGAGGGTGAGCAAGAGGAGCAAGAGGGAGAAAGAGCTGGGGGAAAGGGAAAGCCAATTCCTCTTCTGCCTTCAGTTTTCACCAAAATTTAAATTATTTTACGAAAAAACAAACATGAATGAAAAAATATACTCGTATGTTTGGGGGAAAACTTGAGCTCACATGCTGCGAAAGTTGAGTAGAGTTGAGTGCAGTTCCAGGGAGTGCCTGTGGTCTCAGGGACAGTGGTGACTGGGGTTCCAGAAGAACAACAAGTCGAACAGTTCCCTTCCGAAACCCATGGCGGCTGGAACAGTCTCTGAAAGTAGCGTTACACGAAAAGTATTCCGTATTCCGTAAATTAAGTATTTTTCTCGCATTTTCCATTCATTAATCCCATTTCGCTGGCACTGGGCTGTGCCTGCATTTAATTACAGGATCGACACGTCACACGGAATGGTGACCCCGAGCCGGTGGTGGATCCCTCGCAGGATTATATGCTGATGCTGGGCTACGAGAATGCCACGCACACGGTCCTGCGCTTCCGCCGCAAGCTGGACACATGCGACGGCACACATGACATGGCCATAACGGTGAGTCCACACGGTCCTCAGACCTCAGACCTCAGACTTCAGTCCTTGGCCCCGTCCTTAATAGATATACGAGTACTGGCCAAAGTTTTGCCACTTCCAAAATGGAATTTATGCACTCCACTTCCACTGTTAAAGCGAATGCGTCTCTCTTGTCTGTTTCTCGGACTCGTAATTTATGTTAATAAAAAGTTTCAGAGAGTGCGATGCGAGTCGCCTGCCCCCAAAACTCTGATGATATAAGCTTTCTGCCATCAAAGTACTAAAGTGATTTCGCTGCTGCCTCCGTCCTTCCTTCCATCCTTCCATCCTTCCTCCCCTACATGTAGTTGGGAGTTGTTCAAGTTGTGGCAATAACCTTAAACAAATATAAACATTGAAATTTGTGACATGCTAAGCATACGGAATCAAGCCAGAGCCAGCGGCAGTGTCTCCTCCATTCCACAAATTGGAAATGGAATGGTAAAGAGAGATAGAGAGTGCTCAAGGATTAAGGATTCCGGATTAAGGGTTGCATTCGATAACGATACGAGCTGCTGCTGTGACTGCTGCTGCTGCAGTGTAGATAAATACTGATTGCGCAATTAGTTTGCGGAAATCTCTTCATCTCGCAGCTACCTCCGCTAAGCGCTAAGCACTCTATCAAAACCGCAAAAATACTCCATACTCGTCCCATATTGGCCAGGGGAGAGGATAGGGCGAGGACGAACGAACAAGTCATAGTGATAAAAGTTTTATCACGTATAACTTAAGCGTAAATCTTAAAGAAAACTTTCTGGTTAACTTGAGTAAACAAAGCGCGTGGCGCAAACACAAATACTCCTCCAGGGTGGTGGGTGAGGGAGACACCGAGTGAGACATATGCCAGACATGGCGACAAAGACTGAAAAGGAAACCCAAACCACACACACACTTGTACACTCGTACACACGCATATTGAGATATACTAGTGTGGTGGTATCCCCCTAGCCCCCTAACCCCCCAACTTTGCCTAACCCCCAAAAGAGGATTGTGAGAGGGGGGGATAGAAAAATGTTATGCAGAGTCGCGTGTGTTTGCTCCTAGACACATTTGGTTATTGCTTTATCTAAACGGTCCCTCAGACCCCTCGAGATTTCTTTGGTAGTGGAGTGGTGGGTGTGGGCCAAGTATTTTATTTGTCTAGCGTATTAATTGGATTTTGTCGCGTCATCAACGACACTGTCAGAATGGGGCTGAGGCTGAGTTGGCAAGGAACTACAAGGAACACCGCGCACACATAGACGAAACGCAATCTTTTGGCCAAATCGCCCTAGACAAATTAGTTTGCAATAAGCTGGCTGGTTAATGTGGCTGGAGCTGCTGTTTTTGTCGCTGTTGATGTTGTTGTGGGCAATTTCGGGGCACAATGCAAAGTTTTAATGAATTTCTGTTTTCTCGCTGACCCCGCTTTACGCAGTTGGTTTAAGTTTTCCGCTTCAATTTACTCTCAAGCTGCCAGCCAGCGTGCTCCCGAGCCAGAGCGGGGCACAAGAGTTGGCTGCCGCACAAATTTGTTACTATTTGTATACTCTGCTTACCCTGGGGAATGCACTTAATGGGGCATAAAGGGCATAGCATAAAACAGATGTTAACCAGATTTTAAATAGTTCATTCTATGGCCAAGTTCTATGACATTTGTGGGAGTTCGAAGTACAAGTACAATACACATAGTTTTATAACAGTTACACATAAAGTTGTTAGACTTTTTCGTGTGCCTAATATGTAATATTTTCATAAGATGCTTATAGAAGAATCTTTATCAAAATTTCTTAATAACAATATGCCAAAATAGAAGAATAAAGCTTATGATTAGCTGTACGATAGTCCAATAGCAGCAAAATGAGTTTATTTCTTGTTTAGTTGTTTGTATAACAGTTGTATAAAACTTTTATAACAGATAGATAATAGTTGTGGAGCTTTATATACCCGGTGTATAGCAGTTATATAACAGACGTATAACAGTTTTGTAATATTCAGATAAAATGACTGAGAATCAGATACGTCGAGGCATTTCCCTACTCCCCTAATCCCCACTTCCCCTTGTCACTCATTGCACAAGAAGTTTTCCCTATTGTCGGCTTTGCTTTTCTGCTTTCACTTAACTTCTTTGCCGAGTTTCGTATTTTGTGCAATTTTCTGGACAAGGTATTTTGCATCTTTTGCCCACTCGCGGGTTGAATATGCTCTCTCTCTCTCTCCCTCTCTTTAGTATATTCCACCCTTATGCTCCCCCGCATTACTCCATGAATAAAAAAGTAAACTACAACTTGCAGTTTTTTGCATTAAGAGCAATGGAGTGAAGGGATGGTTGGGAGGAGAACAGAAGCAACCATTTGGCAAATTAAGCGCTGTTTGTTGTGCATCGAGGGGGTGGGTGGTGGAAGGTGGGCGGTGGGATGGGGGCTCCACCGGGGCGGGGGGGTTGGCGAGAATTAATAATGTATTGTGTGCAGAGCCATTTGCAAGGTCTGAGTTTGGTTTGTCCGGAGAACTTTGAGGTCAGCGCAAGGCATGATTTGCCATGCACTTAAAAATTTATTAATTGTTTGCATTTCTCCAGCTACTATTACCCCCTCCCATCCACCCAACCGCCGTAACTATCCACCGAACCCAAAAGGCACTCCAGTCACTGTCTTTCCGCGTTTAGCGAGCGGCCATTGTGCAAATTACAGCAGAAACTTGCTAGGGGAATGAATCCTTCTAAGGGATACTCTACAGCGAAGGGAAACTCCATGGATAGCACGTGTATCATTGGACCGATTTTTTCGAAAATTTCCAAATTTAATCTGCTCATCGCATAATGTTTTCACTCCTTGGATTTTGTGCCACTTCAAAGCGCACTGAAGCCAGCCATATGGATTTATCAGTCTAAGCCGCTCAAGTGGCATAATCATCACGAGCCACCCCTCGGGATCTCTGGATCTCTGGCCCATTCGCCCCGCAAGGTTATCCAGAAGGATACTCCGAGCGGGAAAACGGAGACTGGGCCTGCATTTTTAATATACCAAAATGAAATTTCCAGCTGTTTAAGCGCATAATAAAAAAACCCTATTTTAAATAACTTGCAACGATTTCAAGAATTTTTGTTGGGTCCCTAGTCAACCCTGCTCATTCCACAGGACACAATTTTCCGGCGAAGGTCATAAAAAAAAAAACGGAATAAAAAATGGCATAAAGGGAAAGTTAGAGGCCAGCCAGGAGGCGGAGTCAATCAGCTGCTCAACCTTTCAAGCGCTGCCAATGTTCAATTAAGCGTGTACAATAAATTCCCTTCCGAGCCACAGCCGAAGTCGAGGCAGGAGCCACCCCTATCGATGGGACGTACGTACCAGATACAGATACGAGTGCGGGCACGAGCATATGTGCGGGGAGGCATTATCTGGGCAAAAGTTCAAAGTTTGTGTCTCGACAAATTCTCCTATAAATATAAATAAAAATACAAATGTTTATTTATATAATTAATTGTATCAGTCGGGGCGCAACCCTTTGCTCTGTCCCCTTTTTGTGTTCATAAATAAATAAAACTGCAAGCGGTAGGGGGGGCGGGGGCGGGGGCGGGTCCACAAATGCACGCACCGTATTTTTATTGCCCGAAAGAGCCGGAGGAGGCGTGGGGGGTATAAACCGCAAAAACGTCAACCACAATACAAAAATTACAGCCACTAAAAACCGCCATCGACGATGGCGACGATGCCGCCGTCGACCAAGTTGAAAAATATCAATCGATGTGGGTTCATTTATGTGTAATGAACATTAATGAAGCGCAAAGAGCGTGACTAATAACGAAATTACCAATTGGCCAAAAAGAGTCAAGTCCAGAGCGGACGGGCAGGACAGGACAGATGACGTCAGGAAGAGACTGTCAGCCTCCACTCCCCCTGTGGCAGAGGGAAAATGTTCGGAAGAAAATCTAACAAAAACGATGGCGCATTAAATGAAGGGCAAAAAAACCAAAAAGAAAAACGAGTGGGTAAACGAGGGAAAAAGATACAGAAAGAACTTCAGAGAGAGAGAGAGAGAGGTGGAATAATAAAAGTCTGGGCATAAACCATAAAATGCCATTAAGTGCGTCATTTCAATTTGATTTCAGATTCGAGATTTTGGATATTTCCTTCCTTTCCCCCATGAAAACTTTTGATAATGTAAAAGGGGGAGTGTGCATCGCATCTTTCACATTCAAAAGTTTTCTTTCCATTTTCCATCTCCCATTTAACTGCCGGTCAATTTAAATATTTTTAATGATTTCCTCTTGCTATACCACAAAAGTTCTGCAATGAAATATGACCAGCGAATAATCAGCAGCGATTACGAAAAGGATTCTCACTGGCAGGAAGAGATTGAAATACATTTATCACTCAATATTCAGCAGCCCCCTCTGCAGCAGCTACTCTCTACGTCTCAGCTGTCTTCTCGATGATTCGGGACTCGATGATAATGAATGGATATTCATTTATTTGATATCCACCATACAATTGAAGCGGAGCGCGACTTTAATTGAATTTAACCGAACTCTCTCTTAATTGCTGGAACGCCCACTTCCAATCATTAAAATGTTTATGGGTGCCAGTCTCCTGTCCCTACCCCTCTTTCTTATAATAAAAGAGCCCTCCGTCTACACAAAATTGTCATTAAGTATCGCCCATCCACTCGAATCCATTTGAAACTTTTCACGAGAATTGAATGACTGAAACTTTGATTTAGATTTATGCAACGTAATTGAGTAATTACAATTTTTAATTTCTCATTGACTTTCATGTTGATTACTGGCTATTATTATTCTCATTATTTGCTTAGGCAGAAATAAACAGCAACAACAACAAAAAAAAAAAAAGAGCAGAAAAACAAAAGAAAAACTCATTTAAAATGCAAATTTCCTCTCTAAGCCTCGCAAAATTATAATTCAACGGAGTGAATGAGAACGAGAACCAAAACCAGAACGAGACCAACAACATTCCACACCGAAAGTGACAATTAACACTAAT